ATCATTTTCGGATGTGATATTTTGGGGGAGGTTATTAACGGCGGCAAGTTGACGTTGCGACCTGGGGGTCCGTATGCGTTAGACACTATCTTTGATTATGCGGTTTTCGGTCCGGCAAATAATGACGTCACGGTTTCGGTTTTAAATGATAACACGGCGGTTTCGGCTTTAAATACAAACTCGGCGGTTTCGGTTTTAAATAATAATTCGGCGGTTTCGGTATCAAATGATAATTCGGCGGTTTCGGTATCAAATAATAATTCGGCGGTTTCGGTATCAAATGATAATTCGGCGGTTTCGGTTTCAAATAAAAATTCGGCGGTTTCGGTTTCAAATAAAAATTCGGCGGTTTCGGTTTCAAATGAAAATTCGGCGGTTTCGGTTTCGGCAGGCGATAAGTCTGAAAATATCGGTTTACGGCAAATCTCGGCGGCGGTTAATTATTCGGTTAATACATCTGGTATAACACTTATTGAAGCGGTTGAACGGTTTTGGGCTTCGGAAGAGCCACCTTTGGTTAAAATTATGGATCCCTTGAATGTGGAATGTGAACAGCTGTTTGTTAACACGACAACTCGCGGTGCGGACGGCAAGTACACGGTGCGCTTGCCGCTTATACCTACTCACGATCGGTTGGGTGATTCTAGGCAGATGGCCTATCGGCGGTTTCAAGCTTTAGAGCGACGGTTTAAAATACAACCGGAATTTCGGGAAAAATATGTCAACTTTATAAATGAGTACATAGAACTCGGACATATGGAAAAGGCTAATTTTCATAGTTATTCGGATGAACATTATTTTTTGGCACACCACGGCGTTTTTAAATCTTCGGGAGACACTTCTAAAATACGTGTGGTATTTGACGGCAGCGGGAAGACTTCCAACGGGGTCGCTCTCAATGATTGTTTGTATGCGGGGGAGAAGTTACAAAATGACATAACTAAAATTATTTTGAATTTTAGATATCCCAACTTTGTTTTTACTACGGATATAAGGATGATGTTTAGACAAACGTGGATTCACCCGGATGATCGGAAATATCAATTAATACTCTGGAGAGAGCATAGTACGGATCCCGTAGGTGTTTATAGCCTCACCACGAATACTTACGGTCTTAAGTCAAGTCCATTTGTTGCCATTCGGTGTTTGCAGCAGTTAGCGGCTGATGAAGGTTCGGTTTATCCTAGAGCAGCTAAACTTTTGAAGCATAATAGTTTTGTCGATGACCTAAACGGAGGCGCAGACACTATTGAGGAGGCGATAGGCGTTCGTGACGAACTTATTGCATTAATGTCCACGGCAAATTACGAACTTCGCAAATGGTCTGCGAATGACCCACGGTTGTTACAGGACTTGCCGTCAGATCATTGTGAAGTACCTAGTAGTTTCGATAAAGAAGATCAGTTTGGCTGTATTAAGGTATTGGGAGTTCAGTGGGAACCAAAGACGGATTGTTTTACATATAAGGTAAATGTCCCTACCGAAACACAGGTCACGCGACGTACCATCTTGTCGTCGACAGCTAAGTTATTTGACCCGCTCGGGTGGATATGTCCGGTAATTTTTCGCGCGAAACTAATATTGCAGGAGTTGCTAAGCACGGGAGATAGCAGTAAAAGTGTTGAATGGGATGCACCTGCACCCGAGGCCCTAGTACAGAAGTGGCGCGATCTTCTCTCAGATTTACCTAACTTGACTCGGCTTACAATACCACGACGTTTACGGATACACGGAAGTAAAAATAATACCTACTCCTTACACGGATTTTGTGACGGATCATCGGCGGGCCACGGTGCGGTTGTTTATTTGCGGACAGTAAATGATACCGGTCATGTATCTCTTCATCTTTTATTGGCTAAATCACGCGTATCACCACTTAAGAAAAAGGTTACAATACCTCAGTCGGAACTTAACGGTGCGGTTTTGTTGGTAAATTTAACAAAACATGTTTATGATACACTCGCGAGCGAAGTGGGTATTCGCATTGAGGATGTTTTCGGATGGTGTGATAGTACTATAGTGTTGGCATGGATTCGGACGCAACCACATAAATTACAAGTCTATGAGGGAAATCGGGTAACAAAAATAATAACATCGGAAGTCCCAATCACATGGCGGCACGTACCAACCGACAAGAACTGTGCCGACGCGGCCTCGCGTGGCACATCGGCAGCCGAACTGCTTAACCACTCCTTGTGGTGGAACCCTGACTGGCTCTGTCTTCCTTTTTTTTCGATGTACATACCCGTGTGGGGTATCAATGGAAAGGTCTTTTAAAATGATATAAAGTTTTCTAAAAAACATTTTTCTTAAAGTGAACGGTTTTTGAGATATCAGCTCTCAAAGTCGTAAAAAGTATGTCCCCCCCCCTCTATTTTTATAACTACGGGGTATAAAATTCTAAAAAAAATAGAGGTGATGCATGCTAATTAACTCTTTCAACGATTTTTGGTTTGATCAAAGTATCTCTTATAGTTTTTGAGATAGGTTGATTAAATTGACATAATAAGTTTATTATATTTGCTGCTACGGAACCCTTTGTGCGCGAGCCCGACTCGCACTTGGCCGGTTTTAAAAATTGATTTCATACTCGTATACTTGTTAGATGCGTCATAAGCTCATTTACCTCTGGTGTCAGTGTGACGTGCAAATTTTGGGACACCCTGTATGTACCTAAGTAACAACTTTAGTTTATCTTATTCCTACCAAACTACCTAAATAAATAGTCAATTTCCACAGTTGCGGAGTTGTATCAAGTCGTGAGGTCTCTCCATTGACCTCTTAATTAACCTGACGATAATTGCAGCCATTTGTAAATGACCATTACTAATGGCTAACTGCGTTAACATGTCCTAGGTGATGTTTAGGTGTCCTAGGTTTTAAATATAACTAATCTATACTAGTCTATACTAATATTATAAATACGAAAGTAACTCTGTCTGTCTGTCTCTCTTTCACGCCTAAACCACTGAACCGATTTTGATTAAATTTGGCATAGAGATAGTTTGAGTCCCGGGAAAGGACATAGGATAGTTTAGCTTTAAAGTTTTCCGAAAAGTTAAAAGTGGACTGAACATTTAAGTTTACATGGCTATAAAAAAAAATTAAAAGAGATAGCGATCTTCGGATTTTATCAAAACTTCTCTAGTCTCTCCCCATTCAAACGGTATACTAATCTTGTTTAAATAATAACAACAACTTCACAAATTCCTTAAATTAGTGCATTGACTCTACTCGGACTGATTTGCGAAATTTGTGTTTATAGCCCCTTTTTGTGTGAATAGCACGTTAAACACCTAACAGGTAAAAATTATTTATCTTATGCAATGTAAAAACCTTTTCCCTATCGTTTTTCAAGGTGGATTTCTTGAAATTATAGACGAAAATAATTATTTTGATCGTTTATTAATTATTACAAATTTTGTTCAAAATGTCCGCCTCGTGTTATGGGGGCTGAAAATATAGGAAATGACCCATTCTATACGCCAAATAATTTTGGCACGCGATGCGCCAAACACCCTGTATATTATTTTACTTTGTCTTTACTTTGTCTTGTTTAGGTATGTATGAAATATGAATTTAATAACGCTCAATACGAATCCTCGTTATCATTTCAATAGTTAATTCAGTTATTATTGATTAATTGATTTAATTCTACCAATTGGTTATTGTTTGCAATACTTATTACATAATAAGGAAAATACATTATGTTTTATCGATGATCAATACTTATTGTCTTCCTGTTTCCCTAACCCTTTTTCCCATTATTTGGGGTCGGCATTATTTGTTCTGAGGCGTACCAATACATATTGTTATGAAGTTAAATTAACGTTAATTTATTTTACAATAAACAACCAATATTAACCTATCTGTAGCTGAGTGGCCTGTACCTCTAGTACGAAAAACTTTCGAGTTCGTTTCGTTGCGTATTCAAAGTGTCATCGAAAAATTTTGTATGAAAAATTAAACAGCGCCCCCTAGGGCGGCTACAATATAGGGGGCGCTGTTTAATTTTTCATACAAAATTTTTCGATGACACTTTGAATACGCAACGAAACGAACTCGAAAGTTTTTCCTACTAGAGGTACTGAACCAGTCATCTCGCGCGAAAAGTCAGGCTTCGAGTCCCGTCTGAAGCAGAGTTTTGTCATATAAAAAATCATGGCGTCTCTCTCTTAGGCCCAGAACACACGGTGCACGCAACTGCAACGAAACTGCAACTTCCACAAGACGCGACCATTTCAACCCGGTTTCAAACTAGTCGCGTCATTTGTGGTCTCTCAACGGAACTCAAAAGTAACTAGAAGAACAGTTGCAGTTTCGTTGCAATTGCGTTTCACCGTGTGTTGTGGGCCTTACTGTGATACACTAGGTACATTTATTTAAAAAAGAATTATAAAGATTTCACTTTATCAAGCACAAAATAGACCTCGGCGACAACGCGCTTTTTAATCGAACCTTGAACCGTCCGACCTTGCGGGAGCACAGATTAACCTATCAAGTGTAGGGGGCACTTATTGAGTCGTGTTCAACTATCGTTTAGGTATTTTGCAATAGCTGCTCGGTCGACAAATACTTGACTATTCGTAGATTCCAATCTGTTAAAGTATTAACCTAAATAAAATTAGCAATTCCTTTCTTATTAATGTTACAGACGACAGCACGTCAAGTTAAATATCGTGGTTCTCATGTAAATGTAATAAATGCTATTTTGCGATAAAAATGTAGCTGGCTGATATTGTGCTGTCACCTTTACCTATACATTGTACGAGATAGTTTGGTTTTGGCCAAAGAATTTAAAAAGTGTTGCAGCCTCCTTTGCCTCGCGAAACTGGCCATCAAGAAACTATTTTTTTCTCGATGACCAATTTGACATTCTTTTGTTTTTTCTCTCGCTCTCAATTTATCTGCATTGCCACAGCCCACAGTGAATTTTATTGTTTTGTCAATGTTGGTACAAGAAAGTAGAGTGTAATAATTATTTTCTTTGTTCCAGGTTCGCTAAGATGGAGCTTCGGTGGCGTGTTTTAGCGCTATGGATTATACATTTTACAATAGGTAACATAATATTATATTATTATTGTTTTTCTATTGTTGTTATTCATCTGTTAGTTTTTTACTTTATTATAGCCCCTTGGTGACTTATTATTACATTACTTTACTAAAGTATTAGAGAATAATATTATAGGCATGATTAAGGTTTTGAGTAAAGATGAAAGGCCAATACCTAATGTGTTTTCTGGCAAAGGTATTCAAATGAAACGTGAAAGTGAAACAAAGCGTTTTCTGTTAAAAGAAACGTACAGTTACCTACTCCAAATCTGAGTACTCAATTAGCACATTCGAAATAGACGTACTTACTACTAACTTTGTAAGAAATACCTATGTATATGCCACACGAGAATATAGGTATTTTTGTAGCAAAACAACATCAATTCAATTATAGTTTTACAAATTGGCACAATGATCAGCTTTGTCATTGTGTTTGACTGTATAGAAATTTGTGTTTTTTTTTTAATAAATTCGTTCATAATTTAGTAGTAATACACACTTACAGAGTTTACAAAATAACTGAGTTAGTATAAACTGTAATTTACGAAATATCCGCATGATCAGAGTACATGTTTACATTTTTAAATTTTCCTTTAATTTTTCTTGACGCTCGTCTCTACAATCTTTCTCATCTATACTAATTTGTTTGTTTTTTTGTTTGTTTGTTTGGTTGAACGCGCTAATCTCAGGAACTACTGGACCGATTTGAAAAATTCTTTTTGTGTTGGATAGCCCGTTAGTTCCTGAAGGCTTTAGGCTATTTATCATCACGCTAAGACCAATAGGAGCGGAGCACCAATCAATAATATTTCAAATCGGTGAATTTTTTCCTTTTGAGAGCTGACGCTGCGTAAACGGTTAAAGTTTCGCAAAAATCATGTATGACAGGATTGTTCCCCTTTAAAAGTTCTTTAAAAAAGTCCGCGGTAGCATATGTCTATCTTTTAAGGTTGGCTCATAGTAACCATTTTTATGCAAAAAAAAATCTGTTTTAAAATAATGCATTATTTGCGAAGGTGTTTTTATAAACATGATATTAATCCTTATCCAAATAAATAAATTATTCACCACAAGTATTTAATTTTAAACATTCTTGCCCTTTACACCATTCGATTTCAAAAAATATCTTAGGAGATATCGCAGTTTTAAAATCACATCGCAGCAAAATAATGATCAAGTACTACGCGCGCTACTGATGGATCAATGCACAGCCTAAACCGCTGATCGTAAAGACCTGAAACTTGGACGGTATGTTCTTTGTATGACGTAAGCATCTGATAAGAAAGGATTTTCCAAAATTCTACCCCTAAGGAGGTAAAAAGGAGGGGCAAAGTTTGTATGAAATAACGAGATTCCTTCGTCCAATCTACTTAAAATTTTGCATAAGCATTCTATAACAGAATTAATGGAAGACGTGTTTTGTATTTTAGTGAAATGCACCCCCTAACTATGTTAAAAAGGGGTAGAAAGTTATTTTAGTGGTGATTTGCTTCAAAGTTGATATTAATTACTCATTAGTGCATTTTTTTACAATCATGACGTCATGTTAACGACTACCATACTCTAGGGGCCTCCACTTAACCTCGGAGTGGGTGCCCGCTGCGTGCGCTCGCCCAACAATGCATAGTAATGCATGAAAGTCATGCCGCGGGCACCTGCTTGCGCTGTATACATAAACTCATTTTCGCGCGAGAGTTTTGGCGGAGGCCCGTGAGGTAGTGGGAGTAGTCTTGAGGAAAAGCTCCTTCTCCCACGGCCAGTGGCATGCTGGAAGCTTGGTGATTCTAGCACCCGTAGGAAAATATAAAAAAAAAAGTTTACCAATAATACTGCGGTAGGTGTAGTTTTCGATTTCGTTCACCGGATCAAAGGCCAAGCTGCATATTCATAAAATATAAGAAAAAAATATTTTCACGTTTATTTAACCTGATTTTTATATTTTAAAAGTATTCAAACATTTAGATAATAACGTTAAAACATTTAAAAATAATCGTATGAGAACGTTTTCGACTTCTCCACGGACGAAGTCGCGGGCAAAAGCTATTTGTAAAATAATTAGACTAAATTAATAAAAGTGCCTACCCAAAGTCATTATTCCACGCGGACGAAGTCGCGGGCACAGCTAGTATTTTAATATTAGTGATCTCTAGGTTTTCTGAAAAAGATCGCTTCACACGCCCGTATTCACAAACGATGCTTGCTTAAGTGAAGCAGCAAATCAAACGTACAGCGTTGAATAGAGCTCTGTGATTGGTTCGTGTGTCACCCTGTGCGTCCACGTGCACTGTGAGACCTCATAGTCATGTTTTTTGAATACGGGCGACACTCACAGCGATATTATAAGGCCGGCTAAATTGTGCCATCGCTTTTGCGTATTTCTTTCTTTTCTTGTTGTTTATGGTGTATAATAAAGTATTCTCTCTATTTTTCTACCGCAGTGTCCTGCAACAAACTGCCAGTGTTCACGCAGGACATGAACAACCTGGCGCTGTCGGAGACCACGCCCACCGGCTCCGTCGTCTACACGCTGCAAGGATTGGACCCGGATGGGCTGCCGGTAAGGAAAATACATCTTTTATTTACGTATATTTATTAATCACAACAGGGTTTAAGTAACTAAGAGCCAAAGCACATGATGCGTTGCAACGACTTTGCGATGCCGGAGCAGTCTTCCATAGAAATTATCAGTGGCGGGCTAACGAAAGTCATGCGATTCGGAGGAATCATTGCGGTGCGTGGCTGCAACGCATCGTGTGCTTTGGCTCTAATGCTTCAACCACACCAACGCGTGCAGATCGCCATCGCCATCGTGATCACGGCGCGATCAAAAGCCAATGACAGGTCATGTGAACTGTCATAGGTCGAGTCGGTGAGGTTGAAGCATAGGGAAATTTATGTGAACACCAGGTGAGAGTATAGGATAAATCCTCCTTTTTCCCTTTTGTAAGAAAATAATATCCTGTAGTTGAGACTAATTATGACTTGAAAATGATGATGAACTACAATGGGAAAGCTCTTTGGTTTGCATCTAGCCTTATGAACTGAACTGATGATAAGGAAGCTAACTTCTAAATAATATAATATTATGCAATAGATAGAAATAGCCAGTTCCTCTGTTGTTGAAGGTGCTAACTGCCGAAACATAACAATAGCATTCACATTGTTCTTATAGCGATTAACTAAGATACAACAGGGTAGATCCAAGCGGACTTACAACAGATCTTACCACCAACCAAACCTCAAATGACACGCAGGAAAATAACTGTTGCAAAAACCATTCAAGCAATCAGTTTACACAGAATTTATTTATGTTTCAGATAAAATACAATCTGGTGGGAACTGACAAGTTTACGGTAAACCCGAGTACCGGGGAAGTAACCCTAAACCGCCCGTTAGATAGAGAGGTAAGTCCATTCACACCTGCAATGAGCATTAATACATAACAGTAGTAATACCTAGTACTAAACAAAATAGCGGAACATGACGCTCACTCAACAACTAATTCGTGGGAGGTGCAAGAGACTTACGACCGTATTCACAAACATTACTATGAGGTCTCACAGTGCGCGTGAACGCACAGGGTTACACATGAACCAATCACAGAGCTCTATTCCACGCTGTGCGTTCTGTTTACTGCTTCACTTATGCAAGCATCGTTTGTGAAAACGGGCGTTAACTTCATACGTTCGCTCTTTTTCGGAGAGAGAAGTCTCAACACACGAGGCAGTGTTTCGTAGCAATCAAATTCAATTCAAAATGCCCCGTCTCGTAGCAAATTTCGGGACTGGGTATTTTGAATTGAATTTGATTTTGAAACACGCTGTGTTCCATTGTAATCAAAGCTGATCCGAAAACAGAAAAACCACATCAATATTATTAAAATTTTATATTTTGTTAGTCAACCAAGGCACATTTAACATTTTCCAAAATAAAATTAATTTACCAAGACTTACTAGTTAATGAAAAAAAACTTCTTTTTTTTTCAGACTGAAGATACAATTAAGTTTTTAGTGTCAATAGAAAGCCAAAACGAAGATCCGGCGAAGAATTTGGCTCAGCTGCAGCCGGTGACTGTGATAGTCCTCGATGAAAACGATAATCCGCCTACTTTTAAAAATGTGAGTACCTACTAAAGCCTGGTCCGTAAGCACGTAGAATTTTGTCCAATGACCCCAAGCTACCCATCCTTATCGCTCGCGCGTAATTATATTGCTGTCGCGACTGTGCGACGCGCGCCCGCAGTGAGTGTGCGAGCGCGAGAGCAACATAATTACACGCGAGCGATAAGGATGGGTAGCTGGGGGTCATTGGACAAAATTCTACGTGCTCACGAACCAGGCTTTAATGAGTATTGTTTGAGATTTATCTTCTTAGACAGAGCCTTTGCATGGACAAAACACAGTTACAACAAGCAAAAATACAAAGTTATGCTTTAACAATAATTCAATTATTTGAATAAACTCACATGTCGTAGCTATCACCAAAGTAAACGCTTATCAAAAAACTTTTAGATTTATAATCAACCTAGTTGTGCCCGCAATTTCATTTACCAGTTTGTAGTTCAAATAACTGAGACCTAGCTATGATTTATATTATGGGTTAACCTCCAGTTACATTCCAGTGATCGCATTATAAAACGAAATTGTACCTGACACATTTCGGTACTGAAAGAAATCGTGTCTTAATTAATTAATAAACATTATTTTAAATCCTATTTTTCAGAGTCCTTATGAGGTAGATGTTCCTGAAGACGAGGCGATTGGTACAACCATTCTGACCAACATCCAAGTTGAAGATAAAGATTCTGTGGGAGACAGCCTCGAAGTTGGATGTTTGAGTGAACAAGTAAGTACCTATGAAAAGGGTATTTTAATCTACACTAATGATAAAAAGAGGCAAGATTGAATGTGGTATATGACGATCTCATTTGATAGAACTGTACCTCTAGCATGAACAGCTTTCGTCTTCGAATCGTTTGCGTACTCGATAAAATTCGATACTCAGTCTTCAAATATAACAATAACGTGACAATTTTGATTCTCAAAATAAGTTTCGTGCAACCACATCTCATATTAAGTTCACTTTACGACACGTTCACAAGGGCGCTGTTGTAGTTTTCTTACTAAATCTTTTGATGGCGATTCGAGTACGCAAACGATTTGAACTCGAAAGTTTTTCGTGCTAGCCGTACTGGAGTAACTCAATAGCTCCGAATCACTGATCAAAAACGTAAAGAAGCTCTAGGAAATGTTTTTGATTGTTTGTTTGTATTGAATAAGCTCCAAAACTACACGATGAAAAATTCTCTCACGATTAGAATCCTACATTATCTGTAATGAACATAAGCGGTACGAAATTCGCCGGGTCAGCTAGTAAAGTAAATAAATAATTTAAATGTTTCAGTGGCCCGAAGCATGTGAAGCTTTCGAGGTGGTTGCCCTGAACTCGTCTGCCAACCATTACACTGGAGCTTTGGTGCTGAAGAAAGCTCTGAACTACAACGACAAGCAGTTCTATCAGTTCCAACTATACGCCACCGTAAGTAATCTTCATTACTTTTTATATCTGAAAATATTTATTTGTTTATTTATCTTTATTATAGAAAAAAAAACATACAGCCTTGTTTGATACATGCAACTTTTAGATTTTTCAGAAAATGAATTTTCATCATAACCAAAATAATACTAAATTAACAATACTGTTAAAATCGTAAACCTTTATTAATTATTAAAAAAACATAGGAATTAAATACTTGATAATGTCATTGCATTTATTTCATAAAAGGAAGAACGCTGTTCTGTTTTTAAGCGAGATACAAAATGAGTTCAAACTCAATTTTAAACATCATCATTTCAGCCACAGGACGTCCACTGCTGAACATAGGCCTCCCCCAATGCTTTCCATGTTGATCGATTGGTAGCGGCCTGCGTCCAGCGCTTCCCTGCTACCTTTACGATGTCGTCGGTCCACCTTGTAGGTGGACGTCCCACGCTGCGTTTTCCGGTACGCGGCCTCCATTCCAGAACCTTTCTGCCCCATCGGCCGTCAGAAAAATACTGAACAATAAACATCGAACAGAAAAATACTGGCCATACACAAAATAAACAATATTCGACAACGTATTTTAAATCGAAAAAAAATTCGCGCTCTTCAATTATTTTGTGTGCATGTCTAATCTGTGGTTCAATTCCTTGGTCATTATTATTAATCTGTGATGCGCGGTAATTTTGGCGGAGTTTCGCGCGGGAAGAATAGAGAGAAGGAATTGAATATTAGATGTATTTTTATTTTACCTAATTAGTTTTTCACAGTAGTTATTGTGGTTGTGTGGTGGAATAGTTTTAATAATATGCTATTATTTACGAACAATGAGGAAAAGTGAAAAATAATTATATGAATTCCTATCTGTAAGATCGATATTATTGTCGCGTGCAACTTCCCTGTGCATTAAAATTACATCCTACTGACAAATGTGTCGTATCTTCATTACATTATGTTAAATTAGTGTAGTATTTACCATTTTATTATTTAAAGGTTTGTGTATGGATGAACTCTCCAAAACCATATCTAACCATAACACATACACTTTTAAAAGCATTATAATATAGCAAATTCTAGCGGTAACATCATGTTTGAATTATCTTAATCTTGCCTAAAAACGTAACTGTGTAATTTTATTTTATTTAGAATTTTTCCACCTTTGTTATTCACAACATCATGGATGTTAATTATGAAAGAATTAAGGTAGCTTAATTAGATACATGTATGTGTCTGTAAAAAATATAATGGCGCATGGAATAATAAAATGATGTTTTCATTGCAAATTACAATCAACATGATTCCAAATTTTATTCTTATTCCAGGATGGTACCCTGAACTCCACGGCCCACGTGGAAGTCAAAGTTGTGGACGTGCAGAACTCCCCACCTGTATTCAGTGGGGCTCTTAGCGGGGCGTTGTCTGAAGACGCCCCAGTGGGGACTTTGGCGCTTACGGTGAAGGCAAGAGATGCTGATCGGGCGCAACCTCGAGATGTCATGCTGGAACTTGTTACTAGTAAGTACAGTCTTTAATTTAGTGGGGCTTTTAGTGGAGCGTTGTCTTAGTACGCCCCGCTGGAGATTCTGGCACTCACTGTAAAGGCAAGGAATGCTGACAGGGCGCAACCTAGAGATGTCATGTTGGAATTGGTTACTAGTGAGTACCTACAACTTATAGGTTAGGGGGTTCTCAGTGGGGGCTTGAATTTTTAAAATAACTTGCAAAATCCAATTGCCTAAGGTTCTGTCTGAATGTTCGTGAAGATTTAAATTCACACGTCGTGTCTTATTTTATTTTTCAGATCCTTTGGACTTCTTCGTCCTAGACAGTTCTACGGGAGAGCTGAGGACCGCCAAGCCATTAGACAGAGAAGCTCTGGCTGATCCCTCATCACCACTTAATCTTACTATCAGGGTAAGTACCTACATATTTCTTTGGAGTGTTATTTGTATCTTATTCGGAATGTATTAGTTGGTAATATGCGTACTTACTAAATCGTAAAATACCTAAATCACGTTATTTCACAATAGGTAACTGCTCAAATCACTCGACCGTACTTGGTTACGGACAATCGAAGTCTACAGTTTTTAAATGGCCGTCTACGTAACCGTATACGATTAGATTACGTTATGTTTACGTTTCAGGCAACTGAGATAGTCAACGGATCACCCCTCTACTCCGACCTGACATCCACCACTGCTACCATCACCGTCACCATCAAAGACGTCAACGATGAGCCTCCTCGCTTCAACCGGAGGGAATACAGCGTGGAGATTCCAGAGAGTCTTCCAGTGGGGACACCACTGCCTAACTTGGATATGGTGGTCACTGATACGGACTTGGTAAGTCTTCGTTCGTTTCAGCCAAATGACGACCACTGCTGGACGAAGGCCTCCTCCAAGGATTTCAGCAACGACCGGTCCTGCGTTGCCTGCAACCAGGTATTAATATGTCACAATCAAGGACATCACTAATGAGCCTCCCCGGTTAAACCGGAGAGAGAACTTGGAGATACCAGAGAATCCCCCAATGGGTACGTCACTTAACTTGGATATGATGGTCACTGATACGGACTTGGTAAGTCTTTGTTCGTCATTCGCTTTAGCCAAATGACTCCCACTGCTAGATAAAGACCTCCCCAATGATTTCTATAAATAAATAACCACCGGTCCTGCGCTGTCAACATATTACAGGCACTTAAGGTAAGTCTTATGTCAAAATATAGGACGCCAGTGATGAGCATTCCTAGTTCAACTGAAGGAATACAGCGTGGAGATACCAGATAACCTTCCATTAAGGACACCACTGCCTAACTTGGACATGGTGGACATGGTGGTCACTGATACGGATTTGGTAAGTCTTACAAATGTCACAATTGTCCTTGATTGTGTCAACGACGAGCCTCCTTGGTTCAACCAGCGTGGAAATATGTACTAGAGAGCCTCCTAGTGGATGGGGTACGCCATTGTTGGTAAACATTGGTAAAAACCAATCATGAGCTCGAAACTTTTTTTTTCTTCAAGTTTTGAGCGTCGTTTCAGTTCAGACAAGGAGCTTATTATACAATATTTTCTTGACTGATATTGCCTTCCTTATAAGTAAACTAATTAATACTTTTTTCCAGGGTCTGAACTCAGTGTTCACTCTCCGCCTGTCAGACGAGTTCGGAGCATTCATTGTGGAGCCTTCCACAGCCACCGGCAGCGCATCCGTGACCCTCAGGCTTAACTCCAGCCTAGACTACGAGGATCCGAACCAGAGGAAGTTTATTTTGGAGGTAAATAATATTAGGCTGATGGAAAGACTCCTCATTGTTATCAGCCAGACCTATATTTGGTTGAAAAGTCGGACCTATTACAACACCAGTTCTAATAAGCACACTGAAAACCAGCGCCGCGCCGTGGCCTTCGTCACCGTGGGCCACGGCATATGCTGAGTGGGGTCCCGTTGCAGTGGGCTTGTTGGGGGATGGGTGGCACTGCTCAGTTTACTCTTGTTTTTATTTTTTCTTCTTCCATTATTATGTGCCACTGTCATGTCTATGTGATTGTCTGTATTTGTGTGTTGTCCATTGTTAAATGTATCTTTCTTTCTTTCTTGTTGCACATCAGCCTATAGATTTTTGTTACATAGCCCCACATAGTAGAATTACAATAGATTTCACAGTATGCTTGATTTATCGTTGTCCGAATATCCCCAACCAAATGGCTTTGGTAGTCGTTGTTACATTTTGACTATGGAGCATTCCACGCGAAGCGGGCAGGTAAAAAAAGTCGATGTTTCCGATTTCAGTAATATTTGAGTATGTTCTACCTTTACATATTATTGATACGTGTACCAAATATTTTTGTAATATAATGACTAGTTTAAGAGTTATGGGTCTTCGAAGTTTTCGACAACCGGTTGGCATGCAGTACTTCAAAGCCGATTATGGAGTCATAAAATTTTATATTAAAATAATTAAACCACGGGATTTATTACTTCATTTACTGTGCTTTTTAACTGTATTTTTGGAAACGAAAAAAAAAATATTTTTTCCTAAAAAAAATGCAAATTAATTTTTTTTCCTTGATTTTCACAAAGTTCGACACTTTCGATTTTTTTATTTTTTTTTATTTAAATAGCTAATATTGTGTAGAACATTCATGCCATCTCGCTCGCGCGCGGTTGTCACCAATTTCACGTCTCGTTCACACCTATTCATTAGTGATCGGCTGTACTAAAAGACCGATTTGAACGACCAAGACGGAATAGTTCGTTCTCGTTCACTTAATTAAAGGAATTGCTTCCTATTAGTACATAGTACATGTACTACACAAGCCTAGTTATGGCGTATCCGCACATGCCGGGCGGCACGGCGCGGTTTCGGTTCGGTTCTGGGTATTAGTCCTGACCTAAATTAACTGGTGGATCTATTAATCCGGTCCACNGGCGCGGCACAGATATATTAATTTCTATGTAAGACGATGCAGCGACACCGCTCCGACGACGTCGTATTCCACCCTCAACGCATCGTATGCTTTGGCTTTGAAGCAGCCTCAGAGGTCGTTAAAACAGGATAAAAATATAATATTTTTATGGATTTAACATTTTGCGCTTTTGTCATTATGCGCCTAAACCTAGGGCAGTGGTAACAATACCATATGGTGTTTAAAACGTCTTGTATGACTGAGCAAAATCAATGACAATGCCCTTCTGATATTGTCCTGAGCAATGCAGCTTCGACTGGCTCTAAAGTTACACACCTCAGATTTAGAACTAAACTTCATTAATTTAACTTCCTCCTTTGCTGTCAGGTTTGGCACAGAAGGCATAGTGTACCAGCTATCCGGAAACGGCGCTGAACTATTCAGAGTGGACAACAGAACCGGGCTCATTACTGTGGCGCCCTGTCCCACGCCTGGGCAAGCCCCGTGCCTGGACTTTGAGACTAGGAAGGACTACTTCTTGCAGTATAAGGTAAAGTAAAGTTTTTGTAATAGCTATGATCTCAGACATGCTTTTAAGCAATTCACCCAGTTCACCCACCTTTCTTTTGGAGTTTTCTACCCCATCGACTCCTAGAATTCATTTCGATCAAAAGTTTTGTCGTAAAACAAGATACTACTACCATCTCTACAAGATAACGTGATAACCCAAATTGTTTATCACGTGCCCATTAAATGGTTCCTCCCATCGTTTTTTCTTTCCATTAGTACCTCTACATTCGCGCAGATTATATTTTTTTGTCTCACTATCTAATCGTGACCATTATGGTCTTTTCATCAAGTGGTAGTTAAGCAATGTTTACAATAGTTTTAAAGATTTTGTCATGATTTTCAAAGTTTACCTCATTTATTATTAATATCTGATCATCATTATCATTACTAAAATTAGCAGTTCAATAAACAGGTTTATAAAAAGTTCATTGTATCCCACAGGCAACCGACGACGACGGTTCAGGCCAGAATACAGTCGTGTCGCTGCAGATCTCTCTTACAGACTCCAACGACAACCCGCCAGTATTCTCTACACCAGTCTACAAGGCCTCCATAGATGAAGACGCGGTCAAGTTCGAGCCGGAATTGCAGGTATTTGCTTTAACTTTGACAGTAGGACATCATAGACATTAAGCTGATGTTAAAGACGGTGTGTGATATTAAAATTTATAAATATAAATATATAAATATCCTTGGACATTTTACACTGCGCTTCTAGTCCCAAACTAAGCAAAGCTTGTACTATGGGTACTAGACAACGGATATTAACATACTTAAATACTTTTTTTTGTAAATACATACATATTATACATAGAAAACACCCAGTCCAATACAAACAAATAATGTTCATGCACACAAATGTTTGTACTGTGCGGAAATCGAACCCGCTACCTCCGGAATAGTAGTCCGTTTAGAATCACTTCACCAAACGGCCGACTATTTTAATCCCTCCACCTTCGGCTTGATCATTACTTTTCATTCTATAATATGCAGGTCAAAATGTTCCTTGTTATAGATGAAAAAAGTTAACTCGAAGTCTTACTGGCAATATTTTAGTGACCATGTCCATTTCTAAAAATCGCCAGCTGCACCACAATAGTTTTTGAATTGGCAATCCGATATCCATACCATGTTTTGTTCCAACTTCAAGCATCATTTCATGAACAAGTCATAGTAAAATGATCTCTTCCCCCAGGTCCAAGCACGTGATCTGGACGCATCATCAGAACTCCGCTACTCTATCATTGAGCCAGCCACCCATCCGTTCTGGATCGACCAGCTGTCTGGTCGTATTGCTGTGCGACCAGAAGCAGTCGTATCGCAGAGTGGCGACGATAATAAGATCTACTTGACCATACTGGTAAGTCATCATCATCAACTCGTCATCAGAACTTCGGTGCTCCATCATCGAGTCGGCCACTCATCCCTTCTGGTTCGACCAGCTGTCTCGCAAAGTAGAGACGATAACAAGATACACTTACTTATACTTGTGAGTCATTATCATCAACAAGTTATCGGAACTCCGGTACTCTATTATCGAGCCGGCCACCCATCCGTTCTGGATCGACCAGTTGTCTGGTCGTATTGCCGTGCGACCAGAGGCAGTCGTCTCTCAGAGTGGCGATGATAACAAGATCTACTTGACCATACTGGTAAGTAGCCCGATAGGGTTTGGGGGAGGCCTATGTTCACCAATGGAGTGGGTTAAATGATGACGATACTTCTTCTTCTTGTCGTGTCGACAACAAACCTACACAGTGTCAGCCCAAAACTCCGCCACAAGAGTGGCGTTGTCAGTAGCACTCATCAAATCCTCCTGAGTGCAGTTGCTTGGGCACTCAGGGCATGACATCAGGTGCCTCATCGACTGGGGAACAAAACGATACTGGTAAGTCCTCATCATCAACACGTCATCAGAATTCCGCTACTCCATCATCGAGCCGACCACTCATTCCTTCTGGATCGACCAGCTATCGGGTCGCATTGCCGTGCGACAAGAGGCAGTCGTCTCGCAAAGTGGGGATGACAACAAGATCTACTTGACCATACTGGTAAGTCATCATCATCAACTCGTCATCAGAACTTCGGTGCTCCATCATCGAGTCGGCCACTCATCCCTTCTGGTTCGACCAGCTGTCTCGCAAAGTAGAGACGATAACAAGATACATTTACCTATACTTGTGAGTCATTATCATCAACACATCATCGGAACTCCGCTACTCCATCATGGAACCGGCCACCCATCCGTCCTGGATCGACCAGCTGTCTGGTCGTATCGCTGTGCGACCAGAGGCAGTTGTCTCGCAAAGTGGGGAGATCTACTTGACCATACTGGTAAGTAGCCCGAGGAATTAGCAAGCTGAAGTGGTAATGGGCAGGGCACATAGTACGCAGACCTGAAAGCCGATGGGGCAGCAAGGTTTTGGAGTGGAAGCCACGCAGCAAGCGCAGCGTAAGACCTCTACTTACAAGGTGCACCGATGAACTCATGAAGGTAGAAGGAAGGCGCTGGATGCAGGCCGCTATCAACCGGTCATTATGGAAATCATTGGGGGAGGCCTATGTTCACCAATGGACGTCCTATGGCTGAAATGATGATGATACTGGTAAGTCCTCATCATCAACGCGTCATCGGAACTTCGCTACTCCATCGTCGAGCCTGCCACCCGTCCGTTCTGGATCGACCAGTTGTCTGGTCGTATTGCCGTGCGACCAGAGGCAGTCGTATCGCAGAGTGGGGACGATAACAAGATCTACTTGACCATACTGGTAAGTAGCCCGACCGATTAGCAAGCGGAAGTGGTAATGGGCAGGGCACATAGTACGCAGAACTGAAAGCCGATGGGGCAGCAAGGTTCTGGAGTGGAGGACACGCAGCAAGCGCAGCGTAAGACCTCTACTTACAAAGTGGACCGACGACCTCATAAAGGTAGAAGGAAGGCGCTGGATGCAGGCAGCTATCAACCGGTCATTATGGAAATCATTGGGGGAGGCCTATGTTTACCAATGGACGTCCTATGGCTGAAATGATGATGATACTGGTAAGTCCTTATCATAAACGCGTCATCAGAACTCCGCTACTCTATCATTGAGCCAGCCACCCATCCGTTCTGGATCGACCAGTTGTCTGGTCGTATCGCTGTGCGACCAGAGGCAGTCGTATCGCAGAGTGGCGATGATAACAAGATCTACTTGACTATATTGGTAAGTAGCCAGAAGAATTATCAAGCTAAAGTGGTAATGGGCAGGGCACCTAGGACGATAACAAGATCTACTTGACCATACTGGTAAGTCATCATCAGCATACACACAACATACGAGTACAGTAACAGACAGCCCACTAATGCAGAGGATGCATGGAGGCAGAAGAAACGTCGCGGCACGTGCTCATGGAGTGCAGAAGCGTAGTAGATCAACAGGCATTCTCTAATCACCAGTATTACTGCAAGAAGCCTATCTAGGCCGCTTGCTTTCTGGAGTTATCAGGCGTTGTTGGAGTAGGAAGGTAAACCACAAATTGCATACGACGACCTAATGAAGAGGTTGAGTGCCCCTGCAAAACTATCTAACTAATACTGGTAAGTCATCATCATCAACACGTCATCGGAACTCCGCTACTCTATCATCGAGCCAGCCACCCATCCGTTCTGGATCGACCAGTTGTCGGGTCGCATTGCCGTGCGACCAGAAGCAGTCGTATCGCAGAGTGGGGACGATAACAAGATCTACTTGACCATACTGGTAAGACATCAGGGTATTTATTTATTTATTTATTTTATTACGTATACAAAACAGGACAATGTCCTAAGCAATACAATGATAATATGAAATAAAAAGCAAAACCAGACAATAAATCCCAAAAGATTATTAAGGAGACTTGTCCACTGCAGGAGTACGATCCTTTCAGTCACTAGAGACAAATTGAGGATTTGCAGTCACTCTCCATGCCGCCTGCTTAAAGCGACATCCATACCAAAATTCACTAAAAATTTCGGAAGACAGGAAGGTACTTTTGCATTTATCTAGCCAATTTTTTATGTTGATCTCAAACTTCGCTCGCCCTACCAGGCTTGTTGAGTTACCGTCCCCAATCAAAAACTCATTTACCCCAGCATTAATCAGTTCTTCGACAGATATGATTAGCCAACTGCCTCTTCAGCTTGCTAATCTAGATATGCCTACGTCATTATTCTAAAACAGGCCATAGACGATTTCTAACGTCATCATTCCATTTACAGGCTACAGATGGAGTCCACAACGCGACATGTCGCGTGGAGATAACAGTCAGAGATGTGAACAACCACGCACCTGTGTTCGACATTGACAAATACGACGCCGACGTACCAGAAGATGCGCCTATTGGTATGCTTTGTTATTGAAACTGTGCTAACCACTAGGATAGTGATTCTCAACTTGTGCATCAGAAAGACTTGGGACGTACTGAGTCCATTATTGCCTTTGTCTTTGTCCCTACGTTTCGAAACGAAGGAACATGTATTTAGCAGTGTTTGGATGTGTGAAATCCTTGGGGGAGGTCTGAACCTCCCCCTTAAACACATCCAAGTACTTCGCGCGACCTTCACCAGATCGTCGGTTCACCTAGTGGGGGGGGATTGCCTACAAAATAATAGTTTTATGCCTGTTTCCTAATTTTTAAGTGACCCCTATAGTTACAAATGACAGGAATTTTGTTGTCATAGGGGTCACTTAAAAATAAGGGATTGATGGTGAAAACGGGCATTAGTAGCTATGCTCAAAGTCTATCTCACGTGTCATATGAGCGTACCTAACTACCTATCTAATTGGTTTCCTAATCGCAGATAGTTAACTTAAAATTTTCACACACATAAGTGGTCCAAAGGCCAAGATCTCTGTCCCTTTCACCTTACAGTCATCGCCGTTTTGCAGTTGAAATAACTTTATATTCAAGTTTTATTCTTATAGCCGAACCTTACAACCTTATTCTTCCAAAGGTACTGAGGTGGCAGCAGTGAGGGCCACCGATCTGGACAGTGGCATCAACGCAGAGATCAAGTATGGCATCCAGAAGGGCGCCCTGGATTCATTCGCCATCGACAACGTCACTGGTGTCGTCACCGTGTCTTCCAAGTTGGATTACGACAAGAGAAACACATACAGGATACAGATCATCGCTTCTGATCTTGGTGAGTACAATATTTATCTTATTAGTATGTTGCTATAGGGCAGCTGGCGCGAGCCAAACTGTGATTGTGTCGTGATGCTTGTGTTTTTTTTATTAATGGCTATGGCAATTAGTGCAATATTTTACCGAAACTATTAGCGAGATTTATACTGACCACTGTAAATTATAGAGGCTTGGCTTCTGTATTTGGTTATGTCGTTACTCGAATGGATATTTTTCTGATGTCACAAAAAGGCGATTGAGGGACAATAAATATGGGTAACATTAGACTTCCTTTAGCCGTTTAGCAGGGTGAGACTGATCCAAATCCTTCACAGATAATGTGCTCCTGTACCTGTAACAGACTGGTGGATATGATAAAGATCATGATGATGACTCTGTTACAGGTATGCCCAGCCTAACAGGCACCACCGAACTGACAGTGCACGTCATAAACGTCAACGACAAGAAGCCTTACTTCACTCCAGCCATCCAACGCGCTGAGGTTTCAGCTGATGCTGAGATCGGAACTCAAGTTCACAACCTTATAGCAGTGGATCCGGATATTACTGATAATGGACTGCTGGTCTATGAACTCCTGAAGGATCGGCTGATAAAGGCAGTGGATAAGAATGGAAAAGAGGTAAGTAACTGATTTTGTAGGTAACTTGCTGATCCTGATATTGGTACTCAAGTGCACAACCATAGCAGTGGATCCGGATATCACTGATAACGGACTGTTGGTCTATGAACTGCTGAAGGATCGGCTGATAAAGGCAGTTGACAAGAATGGAAAGGAGGTAAGTTTCTTAAGTAAGAGTATACCTACCTACTTCAGGCCTCACTCCTAGTGGGGTAGTTAACGTTTCCCAAGTTTTCCTCACATAAATAAAAGAGTCCATTACTCTGGTTCTTATTACATTGCACTCTATATTGTTTTTAATTTGTCCACTTGTCACAAAGTACAGTTAAAGCTCGATTCACACATATCAGTGAAGCCACAGTTCCGTCACAGTGTCCGCTCAGTTCAGTATCAGTGCTACAGTGTTGCGTCAGTGAAATATTTTGAATATTTTAAAATGTCAGAGAGCTGTTTCAATATTCTTGTTCAGAAACTATGAAGTAAGTTATTCTGTTTTTAATGATCCGACAAAAAATATCGTCGTAAACGAATACGTCCGTATTGCCGGTGTCGGCACTGACACTGAGAGCACTGTGTCGTCACTGAAACTGACAAGTGGGGATGCGTTCTTCATAGAAACAGTATGAAATAATATTTCGCACTGTGACGGTACTTCACTGATATGTGTGAATCGAGCTTTAATCTTTTAACCTGATCTGCCTGGATGGAAACGATGTTTTAATTTTGGTCCTAGCAGATTTCCACTACATTGAAAAGTACCTACATTTTAATCCTTACCCATATTGTCATAAAGTCCAAAATCATTAAACCCACTTACCTTAAAGTCTAAAATCATTAAAATTTCAACATGCTCTGAAACGTGTAATATCCCCTTCAGGTATCAAACGAAGGCATCTTCGACTCCTGGTTCTCGATCCAGCCAAACGGCACTGTCAGTGTCGCTCAGCGGCTTGACCGCGGCCGCGCGGCTGTACTGACCCTACCTGTAGCTGTCACAGACGCTTCGGCACCTACCCTGCAGCAGACCGAAGGTATGATACAAACCATGGTGTCTTAAAGTTAAAATTGTTCTAAAGATGGACCGTGAATGTCCAGCTCAAGTGAGTTTCATTACAAATATCTTCTTAGCCTTATCATTCCGACACAGTAAACCAAACACTAAGATGTGTCTAAGAAAAAAATACTATGTGAACTTCAAGCCTCCCCAACCAGTCTAGTCAGCGAGGGGAGTATAGGTCAAACCTTCCCTTTTGTCTATGGCAATTTAGAAAGGGCCGTCTTCCTGCCGAATGTTAGGTAGGATCTTTTTGTAAAGATAAATGTTTTGAAAAATCGATGGCTTTAATTTTTTGCTTATTATATTTGCAAAACCGTTTAAAAATCATGAAAGTTTTGACTCTTTTGACTAACGCCCGATTTCCATATTCAATATTTCGTCAAATCCAGATTGAAATATGAAAGTTAATGTCATATTATTTCAATCTGGATTGGTGTTACCTGCTTTCCAATAACGTATCCACGACTAGAGATTGCAATCTGCGCTGGCAATCTATCTATGGGAGGGTCAGATCAGAAAACGGATAGACCCTCTGTATGAAAATGATAGTTTTGTGGTAAAACGACCTGATGATAATAAAGACAATACTTTATCTCCTATTATAGGCGATCATAGTAAATATCAAGAGATTGTCGTCTTCCTGCAGTGGATGTAGACTAAATGACTTGATGATGCTTTATCCCTTATTCCAGGCGAACTAATCATCAACATAGTGGATGTGAACCGCCACGCTCCAGTGTTCTCGGAGCCAGCCTACCACGAGACCCTGGTGGAGGAGCAGCCTCTAGGCACAGTCCTGAATGTCTACACCGCCACGGACAAGGAGTCACCCATCGCTGCCATCATCATCAGCCCGCCTAACCCTTACTTCGAGATCGATAACGTTACTGGTGAGTTGAGGGTAGTATGAAGCTTACTACGAGACCTTGGCGGAGGAGCAGCACCAGACAAGGAGTCACCTACAGCCACCATCGATGTAGAACACAACGAACAGTCACAATCACAAGATCTGAGATGGTACTTTTTATGTTTTTTTTTTATTATTTTTTTTTATCCACAACGAGGAAGCTCTTGGCCTGTATCTCACCTGATGGTAAGTGATGATCATGCCGAAGATAGAAGCGAGCTTCACCCGGAATCCTCACAACCACGGATGAACTGGCTATTGGCTGGCTGGCTATGCTAAAACACTATTGACTTACAGCTACTATACAATTATTATGGAAATGAAGTGTTTCTAACTGCACCACCCGTCTATTCAACAGGCCCTAACATTATAGATTGTTCTCACATCTATTTCCAGAATCATTAATATTCAATTTTGTTCCCAGGAATCGTCAAAATAATCCAGCGCATAGACTACGAAAAGATCCACTCCACAAACTTCACTCTCGTGGCGTTCGATTCAGGCGTCCCCCAGCTATCCACTTCAGCTACTGTCACGGTTGACATCGTGAATGTCAATGATGAAGAACCGGTGTTCGCTGCCACTGCCTATGACGCTGTGGTTGCTGAACACTCTACGGCAGGAACTAAGGTCTTGACTGTCACTGCTGTTGATAAGGATGAAGGTGAGTGAATAGAGTGATCAGCCATCATCGTTATTTTTTAGGCAATGGCAGTCCACTGTTACGTCTCTCCTTAGGAACCCTAAAGTCATCATTCACTACTAGTTACCTTCTTTAAGGTCGTCTGAAAAGACGTGGGTCTGGTCTGGATGTTTGTACCCATACCCTTTAACTGGTATAGAGAAAAATATTTTTCATTAGTTTTGTACCTTTTGTTTTCTCAATAAGGTTCAAAATAATATTATGGTGGCAACAATTCTGCCACTACCAGGTAAAGGTTTAATAACCCATATTTGTAACCATAATACTCCACCGGTTTTCCGAAAGACATTAGCCACCCACAACCATTAACATTCTGGCCAGGGAGGGCCAGCATTAATTTTGTTTCTAGTGTACTAGACAGGCCCGTTCTCCTGCTTTGGAAACTAAACCACATCATCATAAATGAGAATCAGTTTATTTTTTTCAACCTCTTTTTTAGTATAGGTAAACATAATTTGTATGTAAGTGGATTGTAGTGTAATATGTATTTTGCTTATGATAGTTAAATAAAGTATCGTTAAGCCTTTATTTCGCCTGAGATACCTACAGGAATAAAAATCCTAGTTCAGGCACATGTATAATTTTACCTTTTGTTACATAAGATTAGCCTAGAGTTTAAACTGTCAAATAAGTTATTCAATAAAGAATTTATTTATTATTATTTATTTATTATCTTAAATTCAAATTCAAATTCAAATATATTTATTCATAAAACATAGGTACAAAGGGTGATAATTATAATTGCAGTGAGCTCTATGCTTAACCTATTCAGGTACATGAATTATTTTGTGACTTCAGTCAGAATACATAATCAAATTTAAAATTATTATTAATTGTCAATTGAAATTAAATTATAGTTCGTTCGTTCGTTATTAGTCAGTCATTACGTTACATTAAGTTAAATAAAAATATAAATAAATCAGAATGTCAAGATATCATCTAAATAATCGTTAATATTATAATAGCATTTGTCAATTAGTAATTTAGATAGTGCATTTTTAAATTCATTATTACATAACATTCTTAAATTAACAGGCAGATTATTATACAGACGTGGAGCCATAATTATTACACTTTTCTTAAACATGGCAGTTTTACACATTTCAGTACTTATAATCACAACTAATTTTATCTTGTTTTCAGGCGAATTCGGCGAAGTCACCTACAGCCTAACCGGCAACTTATCATCCCTATTCACCATCGACCCATCATCCGGGGTCATCACCGTAGCCGATGGTGCTGTGATCGACCGCGAGACAACCAGCGATGTTTACCTCCATGCTATAGCTAGTGATAACGCACCGAAGCAGACGCGCAAGAGTACTAGTGTGCCTGTAAGTGGATGATTATTTACTCCCCCAGAGTTCCCCAGTGTCGTCCAGGCACGACACAATCAACAAAACACAGAAACAATCGAACAGGTACCTTGTCTGCCGCCGCGCTGCTGGTAGGTACTCTGTAGGACGCCGCCGGCCGGTAGTTAGGGCTTCGCCCGGTGTCTTCGGTGGTTCACTTGAGTCACTAACTTCAAGCAAAGTACTGTGGAGGCCTCACACACAAAACATTTCCGAAAAGTCACCAAATTTCACATTTCCGTTGGAGCACACAATAAGCGTGGCACTCGCGAAGCCGGCCCAAACGCGAGAGGCCGAGAGAGCGCGTTGCGTAGTTTTCGTTGGTTTGCCGTCCGTGGAGCGCGGCGCTGCTGTAGTCGCGCGCGCTCGCCGTGTAAGTTTTGGCGGGACGGAGTTGGCGGCAGATTTAAATAGGTCCCGCGCAATCGTACCGTGCTTATTGAAAGTATGTGTGCCTGAACACCTTTATTGATCAGCAAGGTTTTGAAATTTAAGCCATGTATCAGTAAGCGCAGTATATGACGTCCACCCATAAGGTGGATACATGACGCTGTGTGATCGAAATGATGATGACTAATTTGCTCATCTATCATCAAAGACTGGTTTGATGTGCATTCTTGAAAGGTGCTTTTTTTTTTGTATTAAGCTTTAATTTAATTAGTAGTAGGTAACTCTGGCTTGGTAACTTCTTTTCTATTTTTTTATTGATAAACAAGCATTACTCAGGCTCTAAATGTGAAAACATGTTAATGGTTATAAGTTTTCTAAAATGTTAGTCTACATAGTTTCAACACTGTATTGTTTTCCTTGTAAAATAAAAATAAAATAAATAAATAAAATCGTTGTTCACCACCGACCCATCTTCAGGGGTTATCACTGTAGCCGATAAGGCAGTGATCGACAATGGTAATCAAAAAGTTGTTAGTGTAGGCAGTCAAATTTTTAACTTTCACAAGTGTCTACCTAGTTTCAAGTAAGCAAGAACTATAAATAACCAAGAGAAATTTTCAACCAACCAAGAATAGGATTCATTGATAAAATCCCTCTTTTCAGGTCCACATAAAAGTCCTAGACATCAACGATAATCCACCAATATTCACCCAAAAAGTCTACAAGAGCACCATCGCGGAGAACCTTCGACTGGACCCTCCAGCGGCCATTATGCAAGTATTGGCCGAAGACAAGGATGAGGGCATCAATGGCAAGCTGGAGTATAAGATTGTGGAACAGAGTGAACCTGGTAAGTGACATCATAGCTCTGCAGTTTGTAGTTGAATAAACATTTTGTTAGCCAAAGATAGGACGGGGCATCAATGGCAAGCCAGAGTATAGAATTGTGAAATAGAATGAGTCTGGTGCCCTCAACAGACTGATTATGGTCATAACTCTGTAGGTCGTAGATAAGATTATTCATGTTAGGCGAATAAGGATGAATGAACATTACAGAGTTGAAGTATAAGACTGAGGAGTGGAATAAGCTATGCAAACGACATCGTTACAAGTACGAATTGACGTCATGCGATGATCAATAATCGTACTAAGATAAGGACGCCCGGATGGTAATTGACATCGTCATAGATTTCCAGGTCCTCCGTTCGTTCGTTTCAGCCAAATGACATCCACTGCTTAAACAACATAAATTGACCGACCATTGTCTTCTTTCCCAGGAGTGTTCTCAGTAGACCCCAACAACGGTATCATCTATCCAGCCAAGCCAGTCACCGGCAACACCACCTACCACCTCACCGTAACCGCCACAGATGAGGCAGGCCGTGGCATACACTTTGATACTGCCAAAGTTGACATATCAGTGCTGAGTGTGAACAAGCACAGTCCTGTGTTTGTGCAGCCTCCGCCGGAACAAAGACAGCTGGAGATCCCTGAGGTAAGGTACCTCTTAGAGTTGTAAGAAACCCCTTAGGGTTTCTGGAGCTGTTAACTTGTTACTGACATAGGCAGTAGAACATTATCAGCTGTAGCAATCCACTGCTATACTCTTTTTTCATCATATGGGTCGCTTCCACCTGCCAGCGACCTTTCACTTATCCTTTAGATTTTAGTATTTTGAATCACTCCATGAAATTCATGTGACACATTTTACAGTGAATTGGTTTATGAAGCTTTTATTATTTGTGAGTCTCTGTAGCATAGTGTATTTTACCCAACGAATTTTGAAATCAACCTTGTTATTATTATCTGTTTCAAAATAATAAAGTTCAATTAAAATGTCTTTATCTTCTTCTCAGAATCCCTATTCGTAATTCTGATAACTTTCCCAATCCAGAACGCTGCCCAAGCAGACTTCCTGATCACAACTATCAAAGCCACCGACGAAGACAGCGGCGAGAACGGCCGCGTGTCCTACTACCTTAAGGTGGACAACCAGAATGTGGGAGAAACGCAGGAGTTCAGCTTGGATGCTGACACGGGAGAGCTGAGGACTAAGACCTTCCTGGATAGGGAGCACAAGTCTGAATACCAGGTTAGTTATTGTAGATCGAAAATTTTACAGTCGATAGTAGTGCATCCGACTCCATTTTGTTGAAACTAACAACTATTATAACCCAAAAAATCCACTGTGTTTACCTTGATCCTGCCTGTTTCAATGGATATTGAATTAAAAAGATAATCTTTGGTTATTGTAGCTGGTGATAGTGGCGGTAGACAACGGCACTCCAGCCCAGTTTGAAAGCCTTCGCTTGTTGTCTGTGGTGCTAGCTGATGACGACGACAACGCTCCTCGCTTCCCGCAGACCTTGCACCAGTTCAGTATCAAGGAAAACCTGCCGGCTGGCGTTATTATTGGTAAGCAAACATTTAGAACGGTCATCTGTGACCCAGGCCCGACAGAAACGAGACATACCTCAGTTTTTTTGTCATGTCCTAATTAGTTAAATTATATATTTTTTATATTCCAAATCTATGTATAACACCAAAATATTACCCTTTGTTTTTGTTCAGGCGTTATACAAAAACTAATACAAAATGCCTATTTATCACCAAAATTGGTAAATGTATGTACCTAAATGTCTATTACAGCTGCTATGGAATGTATCTAGTGACCTGGAGATACAGCCGGATTATGCAGGGTGGATTATATAATTTAACTAATTAAGACATGACAAAAAACTGAGGTATGTCTCGTTTCTGTCGGATCTGGGTTTTTTTTTATGGGGCGTGACCGTTCTTCTTTATTGCGGGATCCAAGAGAGTGAACTTTCATCCAGGACTACTCAACCTTCGTACCTCGTAAAGTTATCGACTGGCGATCACGAGCCGGGAAATGTAGAATAAGTAGACCGCCCATTAGGTGGACCGATGATCTGGTGAAGGTTTCGAGAACTATCTTTATGCGGACAGCGTAGAAAATAATGATTGGTCATTGTGGAAATCCTTGGGGGAGGCCTTTATCCAGTAGTGGACGTCATTTGGCTAAACGAATGAAGACAACCATTACTAGTTGGGTTGTATTGGAGGAACAACTGTAGATCCTGGTTTTACAGGAGTTGCATTCCTTACCGTCCTATTCAGGCGACTCATTTTCATATCGAAGATAGTTTTACAAAGAGAGTTTTGCGATTTTCAGGTACCGTGAAAGCCACAGACAAAGATTCCGGTGAACACGGCAAGGTGTACTATCACATTCTGGAAGGCAACCAAGCGGGAGCTTTTACCCTAGATAGGACGCAGGGCATTATCAGGGCTAACATTAGCTTCGACAGGTAAATTAACTTCTAAATGCATGTACTAGGTTCTTTTTATCTTTTCTGACAGCTATTTTATCTCAGAAATTCCAGATCTTGCAAATAAGACATTATCTAATCAAAAAGAATACTGCCTTACTTCAACCATGTCCTTAGTTTTATTCTCTTCATCTCTCTTACAGAGAAAAGCAATCGGAATACTCTCTTACGATATACGCGAGCAACAGCCCCATACTGGAGCATGCAGCAGCAATCCTAAACTCTATCGACAACAGCACGGAAGGCCAGGACCCTGGTGTGGCCATCGTCAGGATCAGAATCCTGGATGTGAATGACAACGAGCCGAAGTTCCAGCAGAAGGTCTATTACGCAGGTGAGATACATCTACAGAGGGAAACACTTTCCCCTGGGCAAACTTGACCTTCACTGGTAGGGTTTTTATGCCAAGCTATACATCCTAGCTACACAGGAGTTGCAGCGGTGGGAACGAGAGGTGGTAATAGTTCCGTACAGAGACAAGCAATAATACTCCCTCACGATATATTATGGAGCAACAGCCCGATACTAGAGCATGCAGCAGCGATCCTTAACTCTATCGACAACAGCACGGAAAGCCAAGATCCGGCTGTGGCCATCGTCAGGATCAGAATCCTGGACGAAAACGACAACGAGCCGAAGTTTCAGCAGAAGGTCTATTACGTCTATTCTATTACATCTACAGAGAGAATCAATTTCCCTCGTGGTAAACTTGACCTTCACTGGTTGGGTTTTTAATGGCGGTTAAACTGTAGATTCTAGCTACAAAGGATTAGCAGCGATGGGAACAAAAGATGCGAATAGTCCCGTACAGAGAGAAGCAACAATATTCTCTCACGATATAGAGGAACAGCTTCATCTCATTCTTGAACCTATCTTGAAAAACATCTTATATTTTACCAGAGGTCATGCCTGAAGCATCCAGATGTGGGCAGCTTAGGACCAGTCGTTGTGGAGAGACTTAAAGCTTCAACCATACCACGTGATGGCGTTCTCAACGCGTTGGTATTTATGGTTGAAGCATGAGGGAAGCCTTTGTCAAGCAGTGGATAGTTATGCGTCTGTTGATTGAAACAAGTGTTTCAAGTTTCATCTATCTCCATACCAAATTTTTAAATAATATTGGTGGAATTGACATTTCGAATATATTGTATAATTTCTAATTTAAATGTAATAATAATTGTATAATTTGTGAATACGCCTGAAAAGGTATAATTTGGAGCGGTTCTATTATTAAGCCATGTATCTGCTATTGTTTACATAAATTCACAGTCACAATTAAGTTCATTTTCAATTCCTCAAAATTTTCTCATCATCATTTAAAATCTCACTCAACTATTTTGTTCAGGTATAAAGCACACAGCGCGAGTCAACGAGCCGGTCATATCAGTAGTGGCTGAAGACCCTGACCTGGACGAGAATGGAACCTTGATCTACATGGTGGCAGCCTCCAACCTGTACAAGTTCGGCGCCTCGCAGTCCAGTGGGAGCGTCGTGCCGTCTCCCTTCAACATCAGCCAGGACGGTAAGAGGCAATAGAAAACACATTAGAGATTATTTATAGCAAAATACCATTTATTACCTACTCTTGAGCAAAATATTGACATTGAAACCGGCCCATTTCTAACTGAAAAATAGAAAAAGTAACATTTGCAATGTGGTTTCTGTATGGTGTTGAGTAGGTATACTGTCATCATGAATTTTGTCTACTAAGTTTTCTCTACAATTAGATTCAAATTACTTGAGTTGAGGTGTTATTTTAAAGAAGGTGGATGTGGTGCTGGTGATGCAAAAACTTAGGACACTCACAATTTTCCCAATTTCTTGTGTAACCATGTTAACGTACTTAGGCTGAGGTGCACCATCTAACTTTGACCGTAACTATTGCGATAACCGATGTATTTTGTATGAAGTTTAACAGATTTTTGACGTTTATTAAAGTAAGATGGTGCAACTGAGCCTTAGTGTTCAGTGTGCCTACCATGAGTTTACGTTAGGTGTGCTCGCTAGCGAGCGACTGCGTAAAAAAATGACATTTAATTGTATGACATATTGTGCAGCGCCCCTAGTGGCTACTTTCAAGAAACAAAATCTTCAATAGAGATTTTTGACGTACTCGCTAGCGAGCGCACCTAACGTAAACTCATGGTAGGTACACAGTTGTCACTGAGAAAAATGTTGCTATTTTTATGGCATTTGATAATGATAATCAAAGGTCTTCTTGAAATTGAGTTAGCTAGAGACTTCGTAAGAGGTCAAAGTCATAATGTCTACCAAACTGACGATGTTCATACTAAGAAAAGGGAGTCATATTTCTCTTCGGGCAATCGCATTATTTACACAGTAATGCAATTAAAATTTAATGTTCATTGACTTTTCGAGCCATTACGGAGGCTAATTCTGGAACTTTCCAGGCGTGCTGATGACGGCGCACTACATGTCGGAGTACAACCAGGACCGCTTTGTGCTGGACATCATCGCGCAGGAGGCCGCGCCGCCGCACAGACAGGCTAAAGCACAGGTTTATGTGAGTACCTACGCAGTAATTTGTAAACTATACAGTAAGAACTATGTGCCCAGCCCACTGCCACTTCAGCTTGCTGATCCGTCGGGCTATGTCAGCGACTTTAGTTCGTTTACGGATCTCCTCATTTCTGATTCGATCTCGTAAAGAAACACCGAGCATAGCCCTCTCCATAGCACGCTGTGCAACTTTGAGCTTCTGTATAAGGCCTATAGTACGCAGAACTGACGGCCGATGGGGCAGCAAGGTTCTGGAATGGAGGCCACGTACCGGAAAACGCAGCGTGGGACGTCCACCCACAAGGTGGACCGACGACCTGATAAAGGTAGCGGGAAGGCGCTGGATGCAGGCCGCTACCAACCGTGCGATGTGGAAGTCATTGGGGGAGGCCTATGTTCAGCAGTAGACGTCCTGTGGCTGAAATGATGATGATGATGATGATGATACAGTAAGAAACCGACGATCTGGTAAAGGTCGCGGGAGGAGCCTGGATGCGGGCAGCGCAGGACCGTGCATTGTGGAAAACCTTGGAGGAGGCCTTTGTCCAGCAGTGGACGTCATTTGGCTGAAACGAACAGTAAGAAAACTTTTCAATTTAGGATCCAACGACCAATGGAGATCAACGATCCTCAAAACGGTTTTCCAACTCAGAAACCATTGGGCTATCCTCGGTTCTTATTTTCAAATCTTTCAGTGTTATTTTAACGCTATGTAGAACCTAGTTCCCACACATACCAGGTTAGGCAGTTGACAAGACTAAAATCGGACTTCTTGGCGGGAATCTGAAGCGTCATGTTAGCGGTTTTGTTTTATTTCCTCAAATTCGTGTTTAGGCGACTATTAATGTGTAATAATGGTGGATTATTAACCATTGAGTGTTCGTGAACGTGCATGAGTGTGGGCAAGTGAAGCAAAACAGTGCATCGTGATTTTTCGGGTTCTCTCAAGTTGTCCATAGGAGGTCTCAGTAAAGCACCACAACTTTACTGAGACTCAAAGGGTGGGAAGGAGTATCATCTATCATCCTTCATTATATCATCCTACTTGATCTCATTTTGTAACTCGTATCACATAAATACTTGAAAATGGCACAAATCAAGTCGACCTTGACGTGTATTGCCAACATCATCAAAAAAGAAGAAGAAGAAGAAGACTACAATCAAACTTTGCCTCCTGTCACATAAAAAAAACTGCAAATATTTTACATGCCAACTGCGTGATGACATAGGCTGCAGATCTCTCTAGCTAGTGTAACCTTACTCTTTGTACCACCTTGTCTCCATAAATAAATAATATCTTTTGTTTATTTATGGAGACAATCTCATTTGTTTTAAATCCACAGGTGTGGATAATCGACCGCTCGTCGCTCATCCGCATGGTGGTATCCCGAAGCTGCAGTGCGCCGGTAGGAGGAGTTCAAAAGCGATTGGCTACTGCTGGGAATGTTCTTTTAGTCCCTGGCAGAAGACTGCCGCTGGTGCAGGCTGACAGGCGATATGATGATTGGTGAGTCTTCTAGCAACTCTTTACACTTAAGACAGTAAATAGATTATTAGTTATAACAATAAAGGCACGGAACCCGCTGGGAATGTTCTGCTGGTACCAGGAAGGGACATGCGTGCTGACAGTCAGTATGATGACTGGTGAGTCTTCAGGAAACTGCACAGTTATTTGGTTGGTGGTGGAAGGAGCTCAGAAGCGGATGGTGACCCTTGGGAATGTTCTCAAAGTTTCCGGCAGGAGGATACCGCTAGTGCAGGCTGACAGGCGGTATGATGTGTGTAAGGAATCTAGCATTGGTCCTTTGAGCCGGATTTTAATGCTTAGTATTTTGTGATAAAAATGCAACATGTTACAAATGTGACAGATAAATCTGATTTTCGATTGCAGGTGCGAAATCCACCTTCTGGCGGTAGACCCCACGACGTACCAGGTGCTTCCAGTGGAAAGGGTGCTAGAGACCATCGACTCCAAGTTCGACGACCTCAAGGACATCTACCAGGAGTTTGGAGTCGAGACGCTTATTGCGGCCAGCGCTACTTCCAAAGGTTTGAAATATATTTAGACTTTTGCAACGAGAGTTCTACCTTTTTTGGAAAATATACACTACTTTTATCGTATACGTTGTAACGTGAGATTACATAAGAAATTATTATTTATCAGCCTTCGCCTTTGAATTGGCCTAGCTGCTAAATAAAGCCATGCTGTCTGTAATAATTATCACAACCAAACTGGAAACAAAGTAATGGAAATCGAGCACTCGATCCATTTTTCTAAAGTTTACCTTCTACCACTGAACACTGATTTTAAAATTATTTTTTTAAACTAGAAAATAATCTCAATCTTTGCATATTGCAGCACCAGACAGCTTTGACCCAGCGTTAGCGGCACTAATAGCTTTGCTGATTGTGCTGTTCACTGGCATCGTCACTTTCATTGTAGTCTGCGCTTGTCTCAAACATTGGTAAGTCCCGAAAATGAAATAATTATTGCACTTTGTCACTACTAAAAAGTGCCTAGTACAACTGCACGCAGGAAGATTTAATGAATGCTGCTGACAACGCCACTTTTGTAGCGGAGTTTTTGGCTGACACTGTATAAGTGGCCACCACGAGCTGGAAGACGTAGCGTGGGCAGGCCTCCCACTAGGTGGACCGACGATCTGGTGAAGGTCGCGGGAGGTACCTGGATGCAAGCGGCGCAGACCTGGATGCCTGGACGTCTTTCGGCTGAAACGAACGAACGAACTGTATAAGTTTGTTGTCCACACGACAAGAAGAAGTGCCTGTATTTCAAAAGCCTTTAGTTTCCTTATTATAGTCAACGCAGCGACGTTAAATCAAATATTTTACCTAGTTCATTACTTTAATTTTATTCCATTTCCAGGGTGATACCTCCCCCATCAATGCAGTCAAGCAAAGGCGACAGCCTCGCCCGGCGCCGGATCCTGGAAGAGCTGAGCACGACGGAGAATCCGCTGTGGCTGGAGACCAAGCTGCGGCCCTACGAGGAGCAGGAGCTCACCATGAACGTGTTTGGGGACCAGGTCGACCAGCCGCCTGATCAGGCGCTGGTGAGTGTCTCTTATAGGCCAGCAGAGGAGACAGTCTAGCTCGGCGCCGGATCCTGGAAGAACTGAACCCGCTGTGGCTGGAGACCAAGCTGCGGCCCTACGAGGAGCAGGAGCTCACCATGAACGTGTTCGGGGACCAGCCCGACCAGCCACCTGATCAGGCGCCGGTGAGTGTCTCTTGTAGGCCAGCAAAGGAGACAGTCTAGCTCGGCGCCGGTGAGTGTCTCTTGTAGGCCAGCAAAGGAGACAGTCTAGCTCGGCGCCGGTGAGTGTCTGAAGTAGGCCAGCAAAGGAGACAGTCTAGCTCGGCGCCGGATCCTGGAAGAACTGAACCCGCTGTGGCTGGAGACCAAGCTGCGGCCCTACGAGGAGCAGGAGCTCACCATGAATGTGTTCGGGGACCAGCCCGACCAGCCGCCTGACCAGGCGCCGGTGAGTCCCTCTCCGATGGAGAATTTGAAGGAGAAGTCCTCATTCCAAAAATAAAATCGGAAATCAGACGAGTAACATCAGTAGTGGTGTCAGCAAATTCTAATTTAACCCTTTCAACCCATTATACGAATTTAATTAGTTTATTTATCAAAATTGGTGGTTGATTCTAGGTGCTCAATGCTATTTATAGCCTGACCAGGAACATAAAAACCCTGGCATAGAGGCGCGTCAATTTCATTTGATAGTGCAACACTGAGTACAGTCGTACCTGTGTTAAATTAATAGGCTAACTTTATGTATCAGAATTCAGGATTACGGGCTAATTTGATATTTTCATAAATTAACGAAAAAATATTATTATAAGTAACCTGGTTTAAATAAATTAAATGAAACCATCAATCGAGCTAGTAGGATTTATTTTATTATTCATCAATAATCAAATTCAGAACTTGAATATTCAACTGCAATGTCTGCTCATGAACGCTTCAAACTCGGTACTTCTTTCCCAATTCCATAAAATTCAACACTTAGAAAGTGACAAAAAACTTTAAAATAGGTAGTTGAAACAAACCACAGCTAATTTTCATAGTGGACTGTACTATACGATAAACATGTCAGTCAATTTGACAACCTTTGTCGGAAACATTATTCAATGAAAATATTGTCCGAACCCTTCTGACGACACGTGCTTATTTTACTCCGGCAGTAATATGACTTCTATTGCCAAAGATGCACAGGATGACCTAGATTTGCTAGTTATTTGGTTTCAATCTAACTTACTAACTTTAAACATAGCTAAGACCAATTTCATTATTTTTAGCGCCAAAAATAAGCCCATATCTGATTTCGAGCCTCTCAGCATAAATAATGAACGTTTGACCCAAGTGGATTCTGAAAAATACCTCGGACTCATACTTGATAGTCGATTAACTTGGAAACCACAGATCGAAAAAACCCGAGCAAAATTATCAAACCTAATGTCTGTCCTGCGCGGTAACGTACACTGTTTTCCTACGTCCGTCCGATATACCATTTACAATGCATTGGTAAAACCCCACCTAGATTACTTAATCGAGCTATACGGTTGTGCTGCTAAAACTAACCTTAAAAAATTACAGACCGCTCAAAATAAAATTATAAAATTGCTGTTTCATTTTGACTTCTTAACTCCAACATCAGAAGTTTATAAAAAAACCGGACTTATGTCTTTGTCCCAAATATATAAATACAATACATGTATACTTGTACGTAAAATACTAGCAAAGTATATTCATACACAAATATCCTTTAATATTAAATCACAATTTTCAAAACGTTCCCTACGAAAACCCAATGACATCCAATTGTTAAGACCCCGAACAAACTATGGTAAGAAAAATGTATTGTATGAAGGGGCGAAACTGTATAACAAATTACCTAATGACATCAAAGGCACAAAATCATTCCTATCGTTCAAAAAAAAGGTTAAACTTTATTTCATGAGCCAATTCTCGGAGTTTAATTAAATCTGTTAAAATGATAATTTAATAATACTAAAAATGGTTGAAGCAAATAAAATCAAAATAACTTTAAAAAAAAAGTGACTTAAGTACAACATTCTCATAGAAACTAGAATACGATACGTAATTGGACCTGTCGTTACGAATTATAACTACTGTTTTCTTAGTGTACCCACGAATGGCCAATATATTAATACTCGAGTGACTGCTATTGTACGCGTCTGCTTCGTGCAAAAAATATTAAAATGTAAACAAATAAAATTGTATAAACTTTAAATAATCTATAGTTTTAAGGTTAATTTTGTATTTCTCTTGTAAGTGAATGTAATTCTTTTAGAGAAATAAATGTCTTAAACCATAAACCATAATGGTCACACTAAAACATAGGCCAAGAGTTCTGCTTACTTATGTTTGTAAAAAAAGTTAGGATTAAAGTTCACTCATTCATTTATCAGTAATGCGCCCGAAAAACATAGTCATCATCGTCATAATAGAAAAATTAATGGTACCTTCTTGTCAACATCGCCTCTCCGAAACGCGTGCTCTCTGTGCCTGCTCATCTGCAGCCGGTACTTGGTGGTCACATTGACCTGCTGCACCTGGTAGGTCTCCGCCCAGGAGTTGAGCAGCTCCTTGTCGCTCTTGGTGAGCGTCAGCGATGCGTTGATGTTCACGTTGTATATTTGTATTAGATTATTCACCTCGTCTACTGAAAACTTCGAATCGGGATTTATTAATTAGTAGGCATTCAAATCGAGAAATGATAATTTATGAGCAATGTATTTTTGAAGTTTTAATGGCAGGTTTATTTATGTGAAATGTAATAATTTAATTTATCTAAATTGATAATCAAAATTAATTCTTGGATGGCTATTCTTTGTACAGAGAATTGAAGGTGCTGGCAGAGTCTAGGGATGACTGAGAATGGATCCGCCGACAAGAACAAAGCTCTTTTACTGTGATCTAGCTGACCCGGCAAACCTCGTCCCGTGTAGGGTAAATTTTTTTAAAATCGATCCAGTAGATTCGGAACCTATTCAATACAAACTATCAAAATATCTTTCTTCTAGTGTAGATGTAAACGTAGAAGTGTATATGATTTATTAATTTATTTCAAAAAGCTGTTTATCAATTCTTTTTCTTACCTCACAACGCAAACACTGGAGAAAAACGGTTGCCACATAAAATAATTTCAACAGATCTAATTTCATATTAATTTAAACTCAAATAAACAACGTTAAAACTGCATCCGATGCACCGATCGACTGCAATATCAAAACCAAGCTGAGATTACCGATAACTCGTGATAACCCTGTATAAGACTAATTATTATGATTGTAAAATAAATTGATAAGTGTAGAGGGTTATCAATGAATGTTTTAATTAGTTTATTTACTAGGAAACACGTAAAATTGATTGTAATCTTGTTTGTTTCCGTCATCATTATGAAAATATAGATGATGACGTAACATGAATTTATTTATTAATGTTTTAATAGGATTTACTACTATTGCTTATATCGATTTATTTATTAACCTTATTGTGATTCATTAAATTGTTATTCATATTTTTATATTTTTTTAAATCGTTTATAGAAATAAAAGCCCAAACATTAGCCTGTCAGGTTAAAATTGAAACAAGCAAATAATGTTAAATTTTTATTACAAAAATATTCATCGCATAATAACATTATCAACAAATTACATTCATTTTATAATTGTTACTCCGTATAAAAAATATTATTAAAACAACAAGAAGTGATTGTACTATTCATATTAAATTACTTAATTATATATAGGGTCCTTCTAAATCAGCTACGTTCCGTTTAATGGGAGCATGTATACGTCACACTGAATACGTTCCCAAAGTTTGAGCCAAAAATTCAGGCTAGTTTCCGAGATAATTAAGGTAACAACTTCATTTCTTATCAACCCAATACAACACCCTGTTCAGCTGATTCACTACTACACTGACAAAAATCCGCACGCACACGAGCTAACGTAATGGCCGCCATTGCGCTTGTGCTGCCGTTGGGCCGTGCCGCCTGACGACGAACCGGGCGCCACACAAGCTATTCTAGGGCTACTACTAGTTATTTAAGGAATTAAATTAAGCAGAAAATTAAAGTTTATTTTTGGTAACATAAAAAAATCTTATGTGGTAAGTACTTATTTAGTGGCCTTAATGGAATGATGTTTATTCAAAAGTTCGTTAAAATACTTTTGCGCTTGTAAAAATCTTTTATTTCAAACGTAGCAACGAAACGAAGCAAAAAAGTTAGTTGCTGAAATCGATGACTTATTTTTATGCCATACACAAATGGGATAGTTATAGTTCCAAAATACTGGACTGTCCTGTCGATGACATTGACAGTGGGGCGCCACCGTCTATACCGGATCGCTGGTTCAGATTTTTGCCATGTTGGAAACCATATAGTTGAACGATGGTAGCGCCCCCCTGTCATTGAGTTTGGTGGGACAGTTCAGCGTGGGTCATCTATATTTAAATAAATTAAATGAAACCATCAATCGAGCTAGTAGGATTTATTTTATTATTCATCAATAATCAAATTCAGAACTTGAATATTCAACTGCAATGTCTGCTCATGAACGCTTCAAACTCGGTACTTCTTTCCCAATTCCATAAAATTCAACACTTAGAAAGTGACAAAAAACTTTAAAATAGGTAGTTGAAACAAACCACAGCTAATTTTCATAGTGGACTGTACTATACGATAAACATGTCAGTCAATTTGACAACCTTTGTCGGAAACATTATTCAATGAAAATATTGTCCGAACCCTTAGTATTTCTCTTCGACAAATACTTTAACACATTGTGAACCACTTTTCTTTCACGACTATAAAAAGATTTTAGCAATTTAATTCACAAAATCAATTCGCACATTTAAAATAAAGTTTGTTTACACTTTGACAGCAATAGACTGACATGTAAGGTGACATGTCAATGAAGTTTTCAGTTACTGTTGCCATTAAAAGAAATTAGTACCATTAGTTTTCCGCAACATGACGAGGGTTTTATGTTCCTGGTCGGGCTATATTTTATTTATTTATAAATCTTTATTGCACACATAAATATACAGTGGTACAGGTGGCTATGTGAGTGAACAATTAATAAAACGTTGTCTGCATATGCTTGGAGGTAGCATCCGGAAGGCAATAGCAGTACATCTAGGATCCATAGGCTGGGCCGCATACTGAACCCTGTATGCAGCCTTTTGTCTTAGTTTTGCTGACACTGCTATTCTGTCATATCGATGTTACCGATGCGACCGGCTGCACCCTTTGGTTTGGTCGAACCCTTAGGCCGTACATACTTTAGAACATACCAATTGTTTTATTTGGACCAAATAGAAACTATTCTATGGTATTAAAGTGATCGTGTCTATTTGCAGCCGGACAACACGTACGCTACTATCCAGACGTCACGCACGGCGGAGCGGTTCGGTGATTACGCCACGCTGGGCGGAGACTCGCCCACGCCGCTCGAGGCTGCCTTAGGATTCCAGGTAATATTCCTTACTTATTCACTACAGTACCTTCTCGTAGTGTAGATAAGCCTTTCCCTTCATGAACCAATGAGTTGATGAATATCACGGGAAGCGTATCATTTCACTTCATTTTACATGGTTAGAGGATTTAGACATGAGTCACATTCGACTTACGGGACAAAAAAGACCGGAAGAGTGAGACCAAGAAATCCGGTATAGAGGCCTTCCACTTCATAGGCCGACAACTTGGAAAATATTGCAGGAAACGTAATCGCACCCTCAGTACGACACTGTCACTTATGCAAATATGTAGTTTTTCTAGAAATTTAAATTTACATCTCACAAAACAATGTTTTAAAATGTAAAATAGATGAGATGAACAGCATTTACTAAAACATAACGAAACTATGCGTAGTACAAAAATAACGTTATCGCTCCAAGTAAAGGGGTGCTCTAGGATCATTATTGGATATTTAACTCAATTTTTTGCAAAAGTGACAGTGTCGCACCGGGGGTGCGGTATAATGAGCTCACTCCCCATGAAGCTCATGGTTTCACAAAAAGACTACAGCAGTATTAAGACAGAATATCAACCTCAATACTGTACAATTTTCGTAGTTGTATAATTAGGTGCGATTTTGTGTGCGTACGAAACTGTGAATCCTTTTGTGCTGTTGACTTTACAATCGTTTAAATTCTAATCTTCATTTCCAGGGCAGCACATTTAAGCCGCCATCCCCAGATACTCCCGAGCCGCCGCCTCGGCCTTCAGCAGGCTTAGGACAACTATGATGATGTATGTAAAGCTACTTGTAAATTATACACGACTTAAATAGTCAGGCTTCAAGTCTGTTAGGTCTACTTTGACCGCTTATAAAGGTTCTGTACCTATTTGATTGTATGTATATTTATCACAGAGATAACTGTGTTGGTCCACTTTATTGTGATGATTCAGAGCAGATTTTTCTTTATAGGGAATAGATGTGTACCCAAAATACTACCTTGTGGAACACCCTCAGTTAATTTGTTCTAAAGAGAAATTTATTAAACTCGGTACGTTCAAAATAACTTATGAGCAAATTATAGATTTAAGGAAATTGTATCCTATTGTCCAACAATATGATTTATGAATTTGTGTTACTATAAAACATTTCTGATTTTAAGTCACATGTTAATGTATTTAGGAAAGCTTTAGCTATTTAATTTTTGTCATGCATGTTGGCAATGTATTATTTAACCTTTGGAGTTTTTTCACAATTTTGACCAAGACTGTCTAAATTATTACTAGGATTGTTACCATTTGAATAATGTAATATTTTTGTTTATTGTAATACATTGTCAACGTCCATTTATTTAGGATTGCTTTTATACTAAGGTATTATTATAAACAAATTATCGATCTGACCTATCAAGAATTTCTATGCGATCTTAGCCAATGTCTTGTTTCTAATGTTGTATTATTTTGTCATGAATCGTGTACAGTACTTGTGTATGTTGAATATTTTGATGCTTAATGTGCATAATATTATTAAAATTATTTAATAATTGATCTTAGAGGTCACCCATTTATGAATCTTAATATTTTTATATTAATTATACACAAAATATTATAATAAACCAGGCGGATAAAACAATGACAATAATAAACATGATTAAAAAAAGAAGAAGATATTAGTATAGTGTAAAACCAATGTCATTTTTGTAGTAATAGTACCATGTAATTGCCATATTTGTAAATTATACAATTAGTGTACAAATTGTTTATACTATTAGTGTAATTCATTGAAAATTATATTTGGAACTAAGGGACCAATAAAGACTTTCCTTCAAGTAAGTTAAATCTATCTTTTGGAATAGATTATTTTATTAACAAAATAATTAATCAATAATAGTCAGTAATATAGACTTTATTCTGTAAATATTGTCAATGAATTTTATACCTAAAAAGTATTATTTAATATTGAAAAATACAAGATGATTTTCATACAAAATATTTGTTTTATTAAATCCAACCTAAAAATTCAAATTAATTAAAAATAGCACACAAGTGACTATCATAGATTTTTGATAAAAATCTTTTAAAAATTTTATATAACGCACTTACAAGAAACTTTTTTATAAATCTCACAATTTTTCATTAAGGCTTAATCAATAACTTTCCATTGCCAGAATTCCAACAAAAAAGTATTCACGCCAAATTAATATCACTGACAGCTGTCAAATTATTTTGCAATTTTTAAACTACCCACTTTTTCTTCAACATTTTTCCGCTACCATCGCTGCCTACTTACTATTACTTATTCTGTGCTTCAGTGTACGACTTAATGTCGATCTCTCCGGCCGTCGTCGCGTCACCGGAGTTACCGTTTCAGTCTAGAACAATCTAGAAGTGTCCATATCGCGGTTTTAGACCACATTTATTTAATTTTGGTCACCGCTAAATACATTACGTGAACCAATATTGTGAAGTGTGTGTTTGTGATGTGTGCCTATTAGCCACTCGTAGATATTAATGTGATTCTTCTATCGAAGGTAGAAGGAGCCATACAAGAAAACGTGGTTCGCGTTACTGAATTCGTGGTGCAGGCGGACTGCAGAACTGGTAAGTACACTGATTGTTTTTAGCATAAAGCAACGTACATGGTGATTTAATTAATATCAACGGGAGTCAACCTATTTAATTTTAAATTGTCTTATTATTGCTAGGTAGGTACACGTAGATTTCTTTCTTACAACAATACATTACTACCCGTTCGCGCTAAGTTTGCCGGTCCGTAGAATTTGCGTCCCCTCTCCCAACCGCGATTAAACGCAAATAGTTAGTGATTAAACGCAATTAATGTGTCTTATTTTACGCAAATACACAATTTTTATCAATAATAATAAATTAAAAATATTTTAAATATAGTTTGTTAAAGTTATAGACGATTCCCTTCGAGTGAGATCCTAGGATAGTACCTACTTAGTGCTGAAGTTGGTTGAGCAATTTTGATCCTAAGAGTTATGAGTATTATGTTTTACCGTTTGGACTTATGCGTTTAAATAAGTAGAATTTTCTTTTCTTCTCCCATTGTAGCACCTGTGTATAGATGTCAACAAGGACCTGGCACTCTCTAGGTACCCAGACAGGGTAATTTTCAGGCACTCTTCTAAATTGTCTATCGATGAGGATAGTTTGATGTACAGCTGACCCATCGCCTCTAGCTTTAGAAGCATCAGCCTTTGTAGGGTGAAGTTGTAGTTGTCTCTTTCAATCTGAAACCAAATCAAATTCAAATTATTTGTTGCTAACTAAGTAACAATGTTTGAGTTTATTCAAATTACTGTGTATCACCGATAATGTACAAAATCTAAATACAATATGAAAATGCAATTTTACTAACATACTCGACTAGACAACTTTTAGCATCCTCTTCGCTATCAGGATGTTCAATTTCACACAAATGAGTAAGGTACTTGAAGCTCTTCCGCCATTTTTTTATCTGCAATTACAAATAAGTTATTTGAATAAAATATTAATTAGGTAGATTCAAAACTAGGCCGAGCATTGTACCCTGCAAGAGTCCATTACCTCCTTTTCTATTTGATCGACTGCTTTCCTGGGTTCTTTATCGTCTCCATTGGCAGTTTTAAGGCATTCACTTTCGTCCTCGTAGTACTTATGATTTGTACTTTTTAAGTTTTCTGAATAAATATCGATGCATTGTGTCCACTGAAAAAATGTAATGCTGAATCATTGCCAATGAACAGTTTCCCTTATATTTCAAGAATTGCTGTAGGGGTAAAGTTAAAGATCCGCCAAAAATTAACCATGTTTTAGGGATAGGATCCAAGCATTCATTTTTTCTTTTGAAATGGTCACACTAAAACATAGGCCAAGAGTTCTGCTTACTTATGTTTGTAAAAAAAAGTTAGCATTAAAGTTCACTCATTCATTTATCAGTAATGCGCCCGAAAAACATAGTCATCATCGTCATAATAGAAAAATGAATGGTACCTTCTTGTCAAAATCGCCTCTCCGAAACGCATGCTCTCTGTGCCGGCTCATCTGCAGCCGGTACTTGGTGGTCACATTGACCTGCTGCACCTGGTGCGTCTCCGCCCAGGAGTTGAGCAGCTCCTTGTCGCTCTTGGTGAGCGTCAGCGATGCGTTGATGTTCACGTTGTATATTTGTATTAGATTATTCACCTCGTCTACTGAAAACTTCGAATCGGGATTTATAAATTAGTAGGCATTCAAATCGAGAAATGATAATAATTTATGAGCAATGTATTTTTGAAGTTTTAATGGCAGGTTTATTTATGTGAAATTTATCTAAATTGATAATCAAAATTAATTCTTGGATGGCTATTCAAATTTGTACAGAGAATTGAAGGTGCTGGCAGAGTCTAGGAATGACTGAGAATAGATCCGCCGACAAGAACAAAGCTCTTTTACTGTGATCTAGCTGACCCGGCAAACCTCGTCCCGTGTACGGTAAAATAATTTTTAAAATCGATCCAGTAGATTCGGAGCCTATTCAATACAAACTATCAAAATATCTTTCTTCTAGTGTAGATGTAAACGTAGAAGTGTATAATTAATTATTAATTTATTTCAAAAAGCTGTTTATCAATTCTTTTTCTTACCTCACAACGCACACACTGGAGAAAAACGGTTGACACATAAAATAATTTCAACAGATCTAATGTCATATTAATTTAAACTCAAATAAACAACGTTAAAACTGCATCCGATGCACCGATCGACTGCGAAGCTGAGATTACTGATAACTCGTGATAACCCTGTATAAGACTAATTATTATGATTGTAAAATAAATTGATAAGTGTAGAGGGTTATCAATGAATGTTTTAATTAGTTTATTTACTAGGAAACACGTAAAATTGATTGTAATCTTGTTTGTTTCCGTCATCATTATGAAAATATAGATGATGACGTAACATGAATTTATTTATTAATGTTTTAATAGGATTTACTACTATTGCTTATATCGATTTATTTATTAACCTTATTGTGATTCATTAAATTGTTATTCATATTTTTATATTTTTTTAAATCGTTTATAGAAATAAAAGCCCAAACATTAGCCTGTCAGGTTAAAATTGAAACAAGCAAATAATGTTAAATTTTTATTACAAAAATATTCATCGCATAATAACATTATCAACAAATTACATTCATTTTATAATTGTTACTCCGTATAAAAATATTATNATGTTCCATTATGTAAGACGAAATGAATTTTTATTTTTGTTAGAAAATGTAACTTTGTAAAATCATTATAAAACACATACTCAAATTTGGTGAACTTGTTCAGTGTACCGTATAGATGCCCCCATTAAAAGGAATGTAGCTAGTTTAGAAGGACCCTGTATATTAATTTAACACAAACACTTAAAGGACCTAGTTCTTATGTTATATTTAATCAGATGCTAAAAACATAATTATGAAAAATAGGTTTCGAGAAAATGTTTAAACGCAAAACAAAATTAAAAAAATAAACTCTACTTTATATAATATTACATTTTATTCGTTACTAAAACATTTTTTGCGAAAATGATTTGAAATTCTAGGCCTCAATACTATCACAGTGTCTACTGTTAACTGTCTAATATAATTTGGTAACGCATCTATTCGTTGACATAAATAATAATAATACGTCTTATTTCTAGCTTAAAAATAATTGTACATTCATAATTTCTCCTGTATTTTTTTAGTTTTACACTTGCCATCACACAATTTCTATTTAATAAATTAAATAATACCATGGCACTCTGAGACCATTTTAAAATAATAAAATTAATTAATTTAATTTTCATGCGATTTTGATTTTTTTGCAAATCTTTGTCACTATCGATTAAGTACATAAACAGTAAGAATGTATCAGCATGCATTCCTAAAATTAGTTAATTGGCTATCACCAACAAATACTGTAAAGGCTAGAAATTATTTTATAAATTGTTTTCAGATTTGGTACTTATTTTCAAAATTTCTTATTTTAAAACCTTTGTCAAGTTCGATAAAATTCTTAGTTCTTGCCTGATACTTATTTCTTAACTACGAGTACTTACACTAATATCATTTTTAGTTTAGTTCGAAATTAGTCAGCATCTTTTCTATTTATGGGCTCTTTTCAATTAGATGTTTTAAGCAGGATTTCTGCCTTGTCGTTTCTGTGTGGTTCTCATCAATTGGAGAGGCACTGAGGCGGTAAGCGTGCGGTTTGGTTAGAAGCAAATGCACTGACCAGAGCGGCGCGATTATCCAGGCTAGGCCTAACTGTAGCTTGTCATACAATTTTCCATGTGTGGTGCTGCAAATGGACGACAAACGTCCTGTTCAAAACGTATTTGAAAGAGCCCTAAAGCCTGCCCCTAAATTGTCAAATCATCCTAACTCTATCAGATTTCGAATTAATTCGAGCATTGCTCAAACATGTCGGTGGCCTCCTTGGCTTTCTTGTTCGCCTGCCGGCGTAGGTGGTTGAGGTGTCGGTGCGAGTGCGTCAACAGGTCGCGGTACGACCGCCGCGAGAATTGTAAGTCGTCGCGCACTCGGTGTAGCTCGTCAGCCGCGTGGCGGCGCCACCGACGCACCCGAGGGGTCGTCTGGGAAATAAGAATAATGTAAATAAGTATGTGATTGTCTTATTATTTCGTCCACTGCTGGACAAAGGCCTCCCCAATGATTTCCATAACGACCACTCCTGTGCCACCTGCATCACGGTTCCTTCGTGGCCTTCACTAGATCGTCAGTCCACTTAATAGGGAGCCTGCCCACAATTCGCGGTCGCCACTTGAGAACTTTTCTGCGCCAGCGGCTATC